TGGAAATCAAGAACATTGCGATCCTCGGTGTCTGTCTACCCATTCATTCCCATCACATGTCACCTTCCTTCAAGCTGCTCTACAACGGCCAAAACTAACATATGTATTAGCCGGGTGGAAATGTCGGAAACGCCATTATAACCGAACTCCTCAAAGACGGACCCCGCTTCACCATAACAGGCATCACGCGCCCAACATCAACCTACAAACCACCTCCTACCATCACCCACCGCACTGTCGACTACACATCTTTCTCCTCTCTCCAAACCGCATTCGAGAACCAAGACGCAGTAGTAAACTGCATCACAGGCGGAGCCACGCATTACGAGCCATCCAAACTCATCATCGACGCCGCGGTCGCTGCAGGCGTCAAGCTCTTCTTCGCCAACGAATTCGTCGGAGAAATCACCCGAGAGGCGTTTAGAAGATTGCCGGAAGCTTTTGTTGGCGGTAAATGTAGGATCAGAGATTATCTTGAGGGATTGGGGAGGGAGGGGAAGATGGCGTGGACGAGTTTGAATGGCGGGCCGTTCTTCGATATGTGTATGTAATTCCTCCAACTATTCGACTTGAAGCGTGATACTGATCAGCATATACTAGGGTTGATGAAAGGCCCCGCAGGCTTTGGTAATTTTCTCCCTATCAACTCCAAACCATCACCATCCCGCTAACATATGATGACCAGACATACCCAACCGCCACGCCCGCATCTACGGCTCCGGAAACCAACCTTTACACTGGACACCTCTACCCACAATGGGCCTCGCAGCAGGAAACATGCTCCGCAACCCCGACTCCGTCCTCAACCGCCCCGTCCTCCTCGATCCCATTTCCCCTTGTTCCACTGTCACTCAACACACACTGTTGCGCACCCTTGAAAAGGTCTTCGATATCACCTTCACCATCTCACACGTCGATGTGGACAAAATCCATCGAAACGCTTTGGTCGTGTTGGAGAAGTGGAAGGAAGGCGGTGAGCCGGAGGAAGGAAAAGCGCAGATGGGTAAAGCGATGAAGGGGTTGGGCGTGTGTAACCAGTTTTATGAGGGCGATGATGAAGGTCATGCGGAGGACTTGGAGAGGACTGTTCAGAATGAGCTCGTTGGTGTGGAGACCATGCAGTTGGAAGATGCAGTGAGGGATGCGCTGGAGCGATATGGTGAGAACTGTCAGGTTGTTCAGGGTATGTACAACGTGGAAGCTTGTGAACTTTAATTGTTCTACTACTGCCAGTATGTTCTTCGGGTCTATCATATCGTTACCAAAATAAGAAATGCAGCTATACAACTTCACCCTGGCATGGAATATGGGGCTTACCTCGCCGTGATGAGTATCATATCAAAGATGAAGCGCAAGGAGTCTCATGAAACCGCACTTATGCTAAGGTAGAAAACAGCAGCAATATGGGACACAGTCAACGGCTGCAGGAGTAACGGTAATCCTGGTACAGTAGTGTACACAGCAATTATGTGGTATACTACATGCTTTTTTGGGTGTTGTACAACGAGACTGGGATTGCTGATTGCTCAGACATGCCGCTGTCATTCTATATTTTGTTCTGAACCCATGTCCTTGAAGGCGCAATGTTCATACCTCTTTCATCCACAGTGCTGGCGAGTGTACGTGACACATCTAGCCACCACCTGGATCATACCCTTCATATCCTGGATACCCTTGCTGATCTGGATCCTGAAAAGCCGCTGGATCCCATTCCCAATGGTCGAAAGTCGATTCGTAGGGATTTCCATAGAACAGATTCAGAGGCTGACCGTATTCTGTTAGCCCAGTGGTGGGATCGTTCAGAATATCGCCGCCAGGAGCGTCGTAGAGATCGAAGTTGCCTGTGTTGGACTGCGAGTAGATGTTGCTATTGAATGGGTCAGCGCTTGCCCATGCAACATCTGACTGCTGCAACGTAAGAGGTTGACTGTACGGCTGATATCGCTGCTGTGAGTCAAAGGCCATATGCTCTATATGTTGTTGCTTTTTGTGCTGATCCGTTATCTGTGGCTGAGGTAGTCGACGACGGGCCGCCTCTTCTTTGGTCTGCTTATTCATGACTCTGGCGATAACATTGTATGCGTTCTCGCTGACTGCGTCGACGGGTTTCATCGAATTCAACCATCGTATGAGCTTATCGATGCAGGCTGTAATATGTGACTTTTCGACCGTTAAGTGTATGCCGTCCAATGACAACTCAAGAAGTAAGACCGTAAGGGCTTGCATGACTATAGGGGTGGTTAGCCAAGCTCCATATCGCAATGTGTGAGGTTCTTACTTATATGAACAGCACACCACCACGGACCGTGTCCGTAAAACCATGCAGGATTGGGAGGATCTGGCAACATGGAAGTGAGATCTAGAGCCGCACCTATGCAGGCCTCAGCAGATTTCTGGTTGAATCGAGTCGACTGTTCGCTCTGGCCCTTTATGCGCAGGTCTAGCCGGCATAGACAGGGCCGGGTGATGCAAATTTTGGCGTTGTGATAATAGATGTAGAGCAGCACCTGCTCTCGGCTCAGGTTGCTCTCTGAAGTGGCAGCGGTCGCTGTTGCTGGACCCCGAACCAGGGAGTGCAAGGCCCAGGCTTCTAAATCGTCAGACAGCGAAGCAATCTCCTTTTGGGCAGCCTTCCAGGACTTGGCAGACTTTTGTGCGGAATACAAGCCAGACAAGATCTTGTCCATGAGGATATCGATCCTAACGTAGGCTACGTCAAATGGATCGACGCTGGTTTTGATCATGGACTCGCCAGTAGAAGACTCAGATGCCTGTCTAATTGCAGCTGATGTGGTGGTTTCACGAGACGATGAATCCAGTTCTGTACCCTTTGCGCCTGGTGGCGGTACAGTACAGTCAATGGCGCTTACAGTGCGTGGGCGCCCAGTTATGCAGGTAAGAACACATTCGATGGAGTAAAGTGACCACCAAATCTGGGCCAGGGCCTTCTTTCTCTTGGGAGACATGGAAGGGTCTTCGTGTCTGAGGTGCAAGCCTGCGGCCTGTGCGTGTCGAAGGGCGATGCCAATCATATACCAAGCTCTGCAACGTCCTTGTTAGCATACTTGCAGGCTACAAAGGTGAACGTGCCTTCGTTCATCCGAAGTACGACGCACCTGCTGACATGACCTATTGTCAAGTAGTAGAAAGACAGAAGCCCAAATGCCTAGACATGGGTCAAAAGATGTTGGGTCCAAATTCAATGGATCTTACCTGAATCAGCGCTTGATCTGGCTGCGCAACGAGAGTATCAATGCTTTGGAGCTGCAATAGATGGATTGCTCTCCACATATACACTAGGTGATCACGATCGTCGGCTTGCCATTCGTCGCCGATGAGATGAGAATAGCGTGCGCCAATAGCGAATACGAGGTTCATAACAGCTTTCCACTTTGGGCAGACGACCAGCGTAGGACTGCCCTGATCCTTGGCAAAGTACGTTTTCAGTTGAGCTTCGAACATGTCACCTAAGATGGGGAATGGGCTGTGCACAACTGCTTTGTAGTAGTCGAACAGCCTCTCGGCCGACTCAGCAGAGGGTATGACGTGTGGATCACCAACATCGATGTCGATGTTGGATTTGTCAAGGTAAAAGTAGTAGCCAGAATACTTGTCATGGTGCGGAGAAGGGCGAGTATGGCTCTGTTGCTGACGCCCGTGGAGCGCTTCAGCACGCTGGTTATAGGCGTCGCCGTCGATGCCCGGTGGCCCGTAAGGCATGTTGGCAGGTTCGCCCTCGGGCTGTTCGATCTTGGTTTCCAGGGCTCTGAGCCATTGAACGTGGGAATTGTGACCCATGTAGCCCGTGTTGTCTGCCTCATCCGTATTGAGAATGTCCTCCTGGACGAAGTCTAGGTCTTCGTTGGAGCCGACTGAAGCTGAGACGTGAGCTTCTCCGCCATCTACAGAGGTGGCGCTCAGAGCATCGTCATTGGGGGAAGGTGACGAAGCTCTTCTTGCGCGCTTGCCATGAGAGAGAGCAGGTGTTGGTGGAGGAGGCGGCGTGTCGTCTTCGAAGGATGCCAAGGTATCCTCAACTCTCTTCTTGCTCTCATCGTCAAGCTGGCTGCTCACTTCAATCAAGAGTGCAGTCAAGGCGTGTGATTTGCGTTGAGCTCTTTTACTAGTCAGACGGGGATGTGGAGCAGATGGACAAAGACATGAACAGACCCTTTGAGGCGGTCCTTGCGCTCCAGGTCGTAGTGACAATCATTGTCCTGCCGTTGACAGTTGATACATTGCGGACGGTGGCCAGAGCATTTGATCTCTGGGGCTAGTCAGCAAGCCGAAGTTGTGCGATCTGGACATGAGGAAGGGCCCACTTCGTTTACGGCACTGCGTGCACTAGAAGCGGACGTCAGCACCGGCCCAATCGTACAAGAGAGTTTACTCACAGCCTTGCTCACTACTTCGGTGCGGACCCGAGGAGTTCTTGTGGCAGGCGGCATCTGGTATCCATGGCCAGGAATTCTTGGTATGGCCACCTTTGCCTCCCTGGAGCTGGAGCCCTCGGGCGGGTAGCGGCCGTTATCCATTCACTCGGACGTGACCACCTGCAAGTGCTGGGAGAAGGGGCGAAGCACGTGCGCAGAGGCGGAGGTAGAGGGAAAGACTGAGGCGGAGACAACGGTCCGCCTAGATGTCGTAGCGTGGAGTCACGAGCGCAGTCCTTATCGGAGTAGCAGCTGCGTCGTGGTGACGGAACGGGGGAGCATTCCGGCAGACAACCTTTACGCGTTGAACATAATAAGCCAGAATCGGGTAGTTTTCGAGACGAGGTGGGCGCCCATTAGAGGAAGGCGCTTTATGCCGTGGCCAATGGGCGTCGAGGCGGGCGACGTCATGCTGTGTACGAGCAGGCAGGCACGTACGTAGGCGAGGAGGGAGGTCGAGGTCCGCGAGCCCTGCACCACCCACGTGCAGTATAATAGCAATATTCAAGACGGCGCGGCCACGACCCGAATCGCGTATCCGCCTGACAGGTGAGCCAGCTACTGCCCATGGACGAGAACCTGCAGGTGCCTCCAGCCCGCTCGCAGCCCACCCAGCGCGCGGCGTTATCTCGGGCGCGTCCTGCGTTGAGTCTGCAGCGGATTGTGGGCGCGGGAGCATGTGAAGCTTGTCGCGGCCGCATCACCAAGGTAAGTCGGCGGCCGTGCGCGAGCTAAACCCACCCAGACCTCTGACACGACCAGTGCTCGACCGAACGTCCCCAGTGCTCAGAGTGCCGCAAGCGGCATACGCCATGCAACTACCTTCAGCCTGCGGTCCGGCCCGTTGCTGCCAGTGCCAGGCGATACCATGGCCAGGTCCAGGTCCACGCACACCATCACCCCCAGCATGCCCTCCTCCGGCACATCTTCGCCCATCTGCGCTCCCAGCCATGGCACGTCGCCCAGGACCTCCTCGCCCAGCTGCGTCACGGCACCGACGAGCGCAGCCTCCTCCGTTTCCTTGAGTATGGCAGTCTGCGTGTCCAGCTCAAGCTGGTCCCAGACACGACATACCAGTTCACCGCTCCCTATCTTGCTGACATGATGCCGCTGTTTGGCAGTGCCGACAACCCCTACCTTGCCTCCAGACTGTACAAGGCCCTGTCAAACGAGACTGCCCATCACGGCACCGACATCCAGGAGCAGACTCACAGCGCCATCTACCACGTGCCCTACCCCGGCGCCCGCATGTACGATCCACGCATGTCGCCAGACACGCTGAGGCCGTCCAAGTGGACTTCGATAAGCGACGACGACGTCTTCCTCACCCGCCTTCTCGAAGGCTACTTCCTGTACGAGTTCCCATTGTGGCCTTGCTTCCACAAAGATCACTTTCTCGATGACATGACTGCTGAAAGGTCTGATTACTGTTCACCACTCCTAGTCAGCGCCATTCTCACCGCAGCCTGTGTAGGTTCCATCTTGACTTCTCCCACTTGCTTCCTTGTGAGCTGACACGATCAACAGCACGGCTTGAGTACGCTTGAGCAGAGGTCCGAGTTTTGGAACCCCAACACCTATAGCTATCGTTGTATGGCTGAGACCAGACAGCTATGGGAGCTAGAACAGTCACAAGCCGTGTGTAGTCTTCCCTCTGCCCAGGCAGCTACCATCATAGGCCGAATATACTTCGCCAATGGCATGGACAAAATGGGCTGGACAATGTGGTCTCACGCTCTAGCGCTTGCGGATAGACTAGACTTATTTGCTAAGACCGCGCAATACAATAACGAGAAGGACCGCATTTCAAGAACCATCACAGCCTGGGGCATCTTCTCTCAGCAAGCGTATGAGCTTACCTGATTTCTCCTTGCCCTCGTCTCCTCTTTCCCTCCCCCTCCTCCTGCCCCTGCCCCTGCCCCTACCCCCAACGTAGTATTGAGATCGCCTCTGATGTAGGTTCAGGTTCTCTTGCTTTTACCTTATGAAGCCCCCACTGTCTCGACTTCCACCTGAGGACGGCTTGCCCGCGTACCAAGACGCACACGACTTCTTTGGCGAGATTTGGGTCAAATACCCTCTTGCGACACACTTGGTACGTCCCCATTTGTCCCTCATGATGGACCAAATTGACAAGCTACTAGACCCCCATCTATCTGGGACAGACATTCCTGTCGCTCATCAAGCTTCGATGCATCATGAACGACATAGCCGGAAAGGCTCTTCCAGAGGACGATGGAGATAACAATCTCGATATTGAGCAGGCTAGTCGTTATCATCTTATGCTGGTACAATGGTTCCGTGATCTTCCGGAGCCGTTACAGCCACAGAATGCCGCCATGCCGACACAGCTTCTGCTACAGTGAGATTTGACACACCTTCCATGTACAAATGACTAACGTTTGGGTCACAGCATGCAGTTCCACAACCTCGTTACCATGACCTTCCAACCGTTCCTGGAAAAGGAAAAGTCTCTCAACTGGCCCAACAATAGTGGCGCATTTCAAAAGTATACAGGCTTCAGTCCGGCCCAACTATATGCTGCCTCAAAAGCGAGTCTGCAGACGCTTCTCCATATGTTCTTCCACCGTCACGGCTTCGAAGCATACTACATATTCCTACTCCAGGTCCTCGTCCAGCTAGGCTTCGATTCGATCGAGCGTCTACGCACCCCAGAAGCGCAACAAGAGCATTTCCCAGCCATAATGAAAGCCACACGAGCCACACTCATATTGTGCGCCAAGGGCTTGCGCGACCAAGGCCATAACTTCTTCTTATCTGAACTCGTGTTCCGCATTTTGCGCGACAAGATGAATCCGGTAGACGTCAAGCTGCTCAAGGACTGGGCGCACATCAAAGACGAAGGTGAAAGGGAGAAGTCGATGATGGAACACGTCTATGGCGAATACCCTGTCAACGTAGAGTCCATCACCTCGGATCCGACCGAACAACGTCTGAATCGGCTTTTGCAGACTATGGCTGATCTCAAGCTTCCTAACGATACTGCTGAGCCAACTCAGCAAGATAGGGCATCGAGGACATGGCGAAGCATCGTTTTTTGAACGCGCCGAGAGATTGGTGGAATTGGAGCAAGGTGGAGGTTACAACAACGCTGGATACAATATACGATTTATTGGTTACTGTGCTACTCGCTACATCCAGCCTCAATGCTTTGGCTCAGAGCTGTAGTTCCCATCTCCTGCGCATCTTCACGTGTGCTCAGAAACCACAGAGCGCGACCCACTTTGTCTGATGGGTCTTTTTTGCCGACCACTAGTCCTGACGAAGTGCTGTGATCCGGATAAGCTCATCCACCAGCCCTTTGATCCACGATCACGATCACCATGGTAAGAGTTTTCTGCGTGCTGCTAGATCGAACTACTGGACGAATGATATGCAGGTGTCCGCGGCCAGACAGCTACCATTGGCTACGGGTAGTATGCCCTGCGAGCTAGCCTCATCCGTATGTTCGAATCGAGAATTATGCGCGTGTTATCGTAAAGGTACAAGTATCGTCAGGTGAGGTTCTGGTTCTTTGATTGAAATCCATGGATGCGACAGGGGCATGCGCTGACTGGTGATGTCACTGCTTGATTCGGCCGGTCTTTCGGAACGACACATGACTGGGCGCGGGTTGGTGGAACTACACATTTCAGTAGCGGTACTCTTACACTCCAGGATAGCGTCACATATTCAGCAATCGTTTTTCAAATCCTGATTAAATGTTTTCGGAGTCGTGCAGTGCATGTACATCGACCCTCTCTATGGATCTATCGGAGACGCCGACGCTCATCATTGGCTCTTCTTCTTCTGCATCTCCATCTTTCTCTCGCGCTTATCGGCGATCCTCTGGAAAATACTGCCATCGTATACGGCGCGAACATCCTCCTTGTCATTGTTAGCATGAAGAGCAACTCAAGATAGGTTCCGTCACATCGCGTACCTTCATCATCCGACCGTCTTCGGGCCAGAGCGTCAAATACGTTGCAGTCCCTTGTTTGATATCAGCATTTCGCCTCTCATACCATCCGAAAACGATTGTGCTTACACTCAAAGATGAATCCACACATCCCGATAGGGTCGTTGATATTTCTCTGCCCCTTCAACACGTTCACAAGATCGCCCACGGTCAGATAATCCCGTCCCTCCGCGTACTTGGTGAAGATCTCTTCGAATTGCGACGGTATAAACCGCCCCTCGGTGTCGTACGTGCCTGTATCACTACCGTGCCGCGCTCTATGCACGTTGTTTAGAAAGAGACGGAAGTAGGGGTCCGGAAGCCATCCCGAGCACGTGGGATAGGAGAAGTTGATGTGGATGACCAATACGGCAAAGGCGGAGAAGAAGAGTCCGCAACCTAGGCGGTAGAAGCCGACAAATGTGTCTTGCGGCCAGAGGATACCATCGTGGTCGCGGTCAAAGAAGTCGCAGTGCTGTTGCAGCACGGTTTGGTGCGAGTGCTTCTTTGCCCAGTCGTCTTGCGTGCTGCCTTGAGGTGTTTCCTCTGAAGGAGCGAGGTTCGCACGTGCGACCGCTATGGAGGGTTAGCAGACGACGTAGTAGTAGCGTGCGCGCCGTAGTACGTACCTGCGTGTGGTAGGTTTGACTTCTTCCCTTGGATGTATGGTTTCCTTTCTTGGGTAATGGGTACATTGTCGATTGCGTAGACTGGTACATCTCCACCAGACTCCGCATGTCCATTAGCTCCTTCCATCTTTGCGATCATGATTACGGTAACTATGTGTATGGGAATTAGAGGAGGTTACACACGACAAAATACAGCTCGATTAAAAGCAACGCCCTAGGTATTCGCCCTGCGAGGCGTGAGCCGCATGTTCCTATTGGATCAAGGGCTCACCATGACGTCAATGACTATGTCAAGAGCCTTGGTATGGCAGTGCAGCAACTCTAAAAAGGATTCATGGATTTGTTTGCCACGTCTGAGACTGTCGGGTCATTTCTGTATTGTCACTGTGATTGCAATGTGGTGTGCGTGTGCTTGCATGCTGCACGACGTTGGTTTGCGGCTGCTATCTTTCGAAATGTGGCTCCGCGGCCAATCACCGAAATGTGACCCTGCTCTGGAGCACGCCGTGGCTTGATCTTCAGGTACGCGTCAGACTTAGATCATCCGCGATATATCGCCTGTTCATATACGTCTGCCGTCTACGTGATACATCTTCCTCGACTGTTAAGGCAGCGCCTTTGCAAAGTCATAGTATCCAACTGTTCGACTTTGAACAGCTGAAGTCAAAACTCGCTCCTCTAAACGTTGTGTGTTCACTGGGAATTGCATGATGCTAATGTCATGCTCCAGCGGAGAATCACAGAATGCCATAAGCGTGCCGTGAGATGGACTCTGGCAGCCGATATTTCATCATGGATTTTGCCTTGAATTGCGACAGCGTAGTTCCATATCCAGTGGTAGCACATTGTTGTGGTGAGATTGATTGATGGTTGCAAACATGGTGTTGATCCAACAGCGAATCCGATCTGGCTAGCGCGATCTCGGGGATGAATGACGCGCATGCACGGGACCGCGGGAACACGCGCCTTCCAGGTGTCGCGTCTGCATCGCATTCTTCAGTTCCACTATGCAACACGGCTAGTACCCTCGCAGACTCTATTGCGCCCTCCTCGAACGCGACCCAATCTCTGATATGAGCCGTCACTCGGCATGTCGTCACCATCGCCGGACTTTCATTCGTCGCAGTTCTCCATCACCTCTCCGCGTCGCATCCCCAAGTCAAAGTTCACGTATAAACAGCTACACCAGCTTAAGACGTACAGCCCACAAACGCCCCTCCGTGTGATCGCGCACGTTGACCTCGATGCCTTTTACGCGCAGTGCGAAACCGTCCGCCTCGGCATCGACCCCTCCAAACCGCTCGCCGTACAACAATGGCAGGGCCTAATCGCCATCAACTACCCCGCGCGCGCATTCGGACTCAGCCGACACGTCACATCGACCGAAGCGTTGAAGCAATGCCCGGATCTTATACTACAACACGTTGCGACGTGGAAGGAAGGAGACGAGACATGGGCGTATCATGAGAACAGCTTCAGGGACATGGCGACGCATAAAGTCAGCCTGGACCCGTATCGCATGGAGAGCCGCAAGATCCTGAAATGCATCAAGGAGACTCTGCCTGAGAAGGAACAGCGCGTTGAGAAGGCGAGTATTGACGAGGTTTTCATGGACCTGAGTGCGCAGGTGCATACCATACTGCTCGAGAGATACCCCGAACTGAGAGGCCCTGCGCCGTACGACGACCCGACGGAGCCACTGCCGAAAGTGCCTACAACCGTGTTGGACTGGGCGGCCGATGCGCTCGTCGAGACAGGCGAGGAAGATGGAGAAGACAGAGATCCAGACTGGGACGACGTGTGTATGGTCATCGCATCCGAGATTGTACGAGATGTGAGGAGACATATCAAGGATACGTTGGGCTACACATGCTCTGGGGGCGTTGCAAGGAACAAGATGCTATCGAAACTAGGGTCAGGATACAAGAAGCCGAATCAACAAACCGTTATACGGAATCGCGCTGTCAAGCACTTTCTCTCCGACATGAAGTTTACCAAGATCCGAATGCTGGGAGGCAAACTGGGGGACGAAGTAGTGGCAATGTTCGGGACAGACAAAGTGAAAGACCTTGTGCAACAGCCATTGGACCAATTGAAGAAGCTAGGTGACGACACCGGCAGTTGGATATACTCCATCATTAGAGGCGAAGACAGCAGCGAGGTCAACCCGCGTACGCAGATCAAGAGCATGCTTTCGGCGAAATCCTTCAGACCAGCCATCAACTCGTTCGAGCAGGGTGTACGGTGGCTACGCATCTTCGTTGCGGATATATTCTCACGCTGTGTAGAAGAGGGTGTGCTGGAGAACAAGAGAAGACCCAAGAGCATCAACCTGCATCATCGCCAAGGTGCACAAACACGAAGTCGACAAGCACCGTTACCCCAGGGCAAACCACTGTCAGAAACCATCTTATTCGACCTCGCCAAGAATCTTCTAGCTCAAGTTGTCGTCGATGGGAGAGCGTGGCCTTGCTCCAATCTTTCTCTGAGCGTCGGGGGTTTCGAAGACGGCATCACGAATAACAAAGGGATTGGCGGCTTCCTCGTTCGAGGTGAGGAAGCAAAGGCCATGCTGTCAAGTGGCAGAGCTACCATCGGTGGAGGCGAGCCACCTGCCAAGCGGAGAAGGACAAAAGGTAACATTGCTAATTTCTTTGGCCCGAGAGATGAGAAGAAGAGCGATTTCGATGCTGCGAGAGCTGTGTTGTGGAAAGCACATAGCGAATCTACAAGGGACGAGAGTGGAGATGAGGCGGAAGCAACCGGGGAGGATCTCGATCCTTTCCAGGTACAACAAGACGATGAACCGCAGCGACCATCGACACCACCATTAGACCGCCATAGTTCAGACATGGACCTGTATCCACCTGACACACCTCCCTCGGCCCAACCCCAGCCCGCGTCACATTCCCCACCACAACAGCATCACGACCCAGTAACACCGGTTCCTCGTGCCAGACCCTCCGTACCGCAAAGACCACCCGAGACTTATTTTTGCTCACGTTGTAACCTCCATCTCCCACCAGTCGAAAAAGCCGAACACGAAGACTACCACTTCGCCCTCGATCTATCGAAGGAAATGCGTCAGGAAGAGAGGAATCCCACACCGGCCCCTGCAAAAAAAGGTGCTGGCGGTTCGAAACCTTCTAGAGGGCGGGGACGGCCACCGGGAAACGGTGCTGGGAGAGGAGATGGGGTAGAAAAAGGGCAGGCCAAGCTGTTCTTTGGAAGAGGGAGTTGATCATGTGCAGTGTTACGACGAGTCAATGTTTGAATGAAGTTACGTTGTTTGGAAGTGAATGCTTTCTTCTTGCGCCCCTGATGCATTCGTGATAAAAGATGCGCTTATTCGCTTTGCCTCTGCAACGGTACATGACTGCCAAAACCAATGATGTAGTCTGACGTTTACGATCCTTCACTTCACCACACGACGTCAAACTCCAGTTGAACTCGTGGCACCTCCTCGCTCCCCTCTGGCATCCTATAGGTAAAGTTCCAAAACTCAAAGTCACTGTATCATGTTAGCATACGCCCATTGTTCTTGCCTCCTTCTCCACACACGACGATCTGCGGGGAACTTACTTTATGACTTCGCCCGCTCCTCCAACAAGCCCATTAAACGTAACCTCAGCATCCAAATCCACAGACCCCGACACCACAACGTCAACACCCTCTACATCCGCCCAGCTGAGCACATCCCTCTTCCCATCCCACCCATTCGTGCCAACCAAGAAAGAAAACGCACTCGACGAATTTCCCATCGGGTACTCAAGCGTTAGACTTCCTTCTTCCACAACAACATCCAGCGCCATGGTCTGCGCATACAGACTCATCCAACCCACGGTTCCATCCCGTCTCTTCCACTGCACGACCGCGGGATTGAACGAGTTCTTGTTGATGGACGGGCCGCCGACGACGTTCTCCGAGAAGGACTCTGCGCCGATGGTTAGGTTGGGGCTGAGGTAGGCGGTTATGTTGCGTGGATACGTGTCGTAGGGTGGGGAGAAGGCGGAGGTCTTGACGGTGTGGGTACCGGGGAAGGAAGAGAGCGAAGACAGAGTGGTGTTGGGGAGCAGGGTGTTGTGGTAGGGTGCTAGGATAGCGACGAGAGGGCCGATTGCGAAGTCGTTCTTGTGGCCCATGGCATATGGCTATGTTCGAATCGTTAGCTTTGTGTCTCCCTCGCTGGAGATGGCTAGAATCCGTGTCGCAATTGGCAGTATACATACTGCGATGTTCTAGCAAGTAAACACTTGCTAAGATGATGTATATTGCAACACGAATTGTACCCATCCCTGGTGTCCTTTCGAAAGAGAACAGTACATACCTTCTTGTTAATAGGTGCCATCTCCTTACCCACAATCGTCCACATATGCAGTGCCAGGATACTCAAATACCGATTCATATCAAATCCATACGCGCGATCCCAGGGCCCAGCTACGTTCTTCAAATCCGCATGATACAGTTCACCCAGTACAGACCATGTGTCACGGATCATCTTCGGACCATATTCGCCCATTATGCTATCACCTGGCATATACTTTGCCCAGAGCGTAAGCGCAAACAGCGAAACACCAGCATAAGTCCCAGAGTTGAATTCAGAAAGCGTGTTGTCGCGGACAAACAGATCAATGACTTCTTTCGCGTAGGCTTCACCTGCGGTTGTCATGTTGGAGTCGTTGGCGCGGCGGCCAACGTATCCGGAGACAAAGGCGCGCATGATGGATGGATTGCTGTAGGCCGGGTAGAGGTTATCATCGTCGACGCCGCCGACACGGTAGCTATCTCCAATGGTGGTGTTGAACAGACTCTCCAGTATGTAATCTTGAACATCTTGAGGAAGAAGATGTGGGAATTCTTCTAGCATAACAACAAATGTTGTGCCGACGAAGCCACGCCAATTAGGGTCCCATGAGTTGTATATGACAGCTGGATACTGCTCCGTACCCACAGTCGGCTCTTCAGGATAGATTTGATAGTCGCCGTACCTTGGTCATGTCAGCAAGGGTAGCTACAGAAGCACTAGGAGGTGTTTTCAAACTACTACTCACCACTGCTCACTCTCGTTCTTGAACTGCCCTCCAATGACGTTCTTCACGATACGTACTGCCTGCTCCACATCATCGGCTTCATTCCGCGCCAGCAAGCCAGCCGCATACCAGACGCTCGACCTCGTGTCATGCGTCAAGGCAGCCGCGTCCAAGCTGAAAAGATAGCCTCTTTCGTTGTCATAGTACATATCCATCCAGTCCATCGACTCGTGCAACAAGCCCGTCGCATACGTTTCCGTATCATTACGCGGCAGTAAATTACGGCCTGCAAACACCTGTTGGGCCAGCAGGGTCGAAGCCACCCACAGCTTTGAGAACGCTATCATGGTGTATGTCGTGGAGAGCTAGAGGTATAGAAGGTTTGCAACCCAACATGGCGGCGCCCATGATGTAGTCTGTTTGTGACGACGGGCCAAGCTCGACATTGCGGGAGTATCTCCGCTATCGCTGGTGGATGCCGAGGGGTTCGGCATTTGCTACTGCGAGATAACGGTGCCTCTCGGCGTTGATGTTCAATTGCGGATGTGTTAGGCCCGGATAATTGTTTGGCCAAGCGGAGGAAACTTCGGATCTGGTCACCGACGTGGAAAGCGACATCATGACTCGTGAGAACACGTGGTGACCAGACACTCCGAGGAGGTGACTAGATAGCACGGCTACAACTTAAAAACCTTATAGCGATAGCAAGAGGATCGTCGTGGAAGTAAACGATTCCGCAAGACTATACTCCTAGCTTCAGAGTGGTTTTGCGATGTGGTTCTAGAATGGGCCGAGCCGCTTCACCTGCTAAGACGACAGTTAGCTCGCGAGATTTTCCAGGCTGCATCATCGGCTTGAGCTTGTGGCGTCAGGAGGCGAAGCTCGTGAGGTCGTCAAACTTTGAATAGCTTCTTTTTTCCAGATTTTCAGCTTGGGAGGTTTAGGGATCTGCGCACCTAAAGTATGCAGATCGTGCAACGTCGGTGTGGTTGGCAAGACCTACCTCGGCAATGCGCGCAAGCAGGTGTTCATCTGTACCCACATGTACTCAGAATTCAATCGACACGAACATGCCATAGGTATCAGGAGTTCATAGAGCTCCTCTACAGCACGCACAGCATAATATTGGCAGGCACAGTCCGGGTGTCGGCATGAGATCTGCATAGTCACGTGGGGCAGCTGAAAATGGCGCAAGAAGATTGCCGTAGCGTGGTGATAATCGTGCCGATCGGCGGGTAGAGGCAGAATGCGAGATCAACCCACCGCCCATGCTAGTCATCGTACCATTGAGGCGAATTGCATGAAGTGACTCGGTGGCGCAGAACAACCTAGATTGTGATGACTTCACCAGGGAGCGAGGGGGATAGCTTGTCAAGCACGATGAACGGAGCGTCAGTGTGGTGATGTCAGTGTGAGTGGGCGCAAAGCATCCAGCCGCAATCCAGTGCGGGATCAAAGCAATGTGATGGGCACAGTGGTGTTTACTTCTACGCATGCTGTGCATGGGCAGATAACCGTTCATTCGTAAACATCGACTTCGTGGAGCAACGCCCGTGTCGTAGGTATATACATAGCAAGAAAAGCAGAATCCGGGGAATTGATGCAATTGCATGATAATGACAGCCATGAGCGGAATACATGTCCAGATGGAGGCTGGAAGATCCATGGCAGGAATTGGTTCCGCATCCCGCAGAGCAAAGATCCAGTCGTGTGAGGAGAATGAGAAACGAAACCCAATTTCCCAATTAACGTACATAAGATCAAAAACAAAGAAAATCCGGGTAGTAAATGCTCCTGTGGGCTGCTCCGCCAGGCTGGGAGAGGTATGGGTCCATGGCTTAAGTCCCAGGGAAACAAATCTGTCCGGATGCTTTTGGTAATGGCAAACTCCCTACGGTACCCAGAGGGTAGAAGATGGATCCATTAAAACATTAGAGTGGCCAGACTCCAGAGCACCATCCAGTAGCTTGGAAAGAAGGGGTATCTCCGGGATCGGTATATCGACGCAGGAACAAGGACAAGGCCGTCAATGGAGATGGACTCTATCTTGTACTGTACCTAGAGGTGCCAGACTGTGGATTGCGTGACGATTGAGGTTGTTGCGACAAGGGATATTCTGAGGGAGAAATGTTAGTTGTGGAGTCGCGCAACGACTGCAATGACTTACGACGACCGTCAGAGGCAATGTAGTAGCCAGGAGCGGCTGCTGTGGCACTAATGGGGCTTAGCGATAGACCAAATAGGGTTCGTCATAGTAACCAAAATACCTTGGAGTAGCGTACTGGGTCGCTTGGGTGGCCGGCTGGCGTCCATAGGGATCTGGGGTCTGCGCTGGGTAAGAGGAATAAGCAGACTGCGCAGGGTAATCCCGTCCGCTGGGCTGTTGGTAAGATGAGTACGGGTCCGCTGGCTGGGTCCTGGGAGCAGCGGAGACGGAGGAAGCCTGGTATCCTGGATGCGAACTTCCATACGCGGATGTGGGAGTCGTGGTATAATGGGGATCACTGCTACCATAGCCTGAAGACGCATACGTTGTCGCTCTAGACGACGTTGACGACTGGCGAGGTGGCTGGTCATAGGGATCCGCCGCCGACTTGGGCGCACCGTGTTCATACGGTTTTGTCGGACCCCAATGCTGACGAGCAGCATGTGTACGAGAGTCTTGGTAAGCGACTAATGAAGCGTTAGAGCCCCCAGATACCTTAGTAGTGCGCACTTGAGGACTATGGCTACCTCCACGTCCGACGTCGCCAGGCTGGCGCTCCTGTTGCCAGCGCTGAGAGTCCATCTTCAAGTCCTGAATCATTTGCTGGGGGTTCGTTAGCGAAGTGCGCGAGCACCGTCCGACGGCTCAACCTACCGAAGTGAGAGTGCGGTACGCGGTTATCCAGTAGCCTGGCTGGCCCTGCGAGAGAGTTAGTTTTCCGTCGTACTGGCATCAAGGAGACATGTGCGGACCTGGTACTCTCCGGTGCCTGTGCCGGGCCTGACAAGCGCATCTGGGCCCAGGTAGCGCTGGATGTCGGCGGTGATGACTTCTCTCGCGATGCCATCGCCTGGCACAAACCACTGATTTGCGCGCGACATGGTTATTGAGAGGCGTGTGGGAAGGTTACGAAAAGAAAGATGACAGTGATGTCAGTCCTGGAATGGGGGCCAAGCTATGGGAGCTAAGATGGAGGGGCTCTAGGCAACCAAGATACGGGCAAAAGCAGTCCTGGGAGTCCGAGGGCTGAGGTGTCCAGAAAGAGTCCAGGAGAGAGGTGTTCAGAGATGCAGGACGCAGAAGCGGGGTTTTGACCAATATACCGGCACCTTGGGGGGTCTGGCCTGTGACAAGAGTGGACCTTGACGGCGTGGCTGGATGCAGCTTCCTGGTGGGGGCGGTCACAGCAGGTACTCGGAAGTAGAGGGAACTAAGATCCAAGCACTATGCGCACTCTGGCAGACAATGCGCAGCGTACGGGCGACGGGAAGAGTACTTTACTGAGTGCTCAAAGAGTCGAGGAGCCGCAACTGAAGAATGGCTTGCAGCGGGAGCGGGGGGTGATTGGCCGTTGGGGTGATGGCGGTGATGCAGGTCAAGCGGTTGGGCAGCACGCTGAGAGCAGGCTTGTGACACTGGTTTGGCGGCGTTGATGCAGGCTGGTTCTGTCGAGATGCGATCGATGGGAAAGCAGCAGAAGGGAAGAGAAAAGAAGACGAAAAGAGCGGCGTACCGTCGGCAGCCGAACTAATTATTCGAATGGGCCAGCAGTCTCCATAGCTCGAGCGTCTGGTGCGCATTCGACGGTGTGGAGACGGACCTGGGCAGCCCTCAGGTGGCGTCGCTTGGGCAGCAACTGCGAGGGTGCCCGAGGCCAGCCTGACCCTTCTGAGCCCTAGTGACGGTGATGCAAACGGGCATCGTCGCTTGTCAGCAGGGACTTGTTTCTTTACCGCGCGCGCTGCTAGCCGTGATTGGGCAAATTAAAGCCATTTGCGCTGCTCGACGAGCCCTTCAAGGTTTGCCGGCGTGTGGAGAGGCTTTCGGGGCTAGCCGCTGGCATTTTTACAGAGGTTTCTTACCTGTCCGCCGGTGAGCCCTGCATCATCACCCCCAACAACAACCAAGGCTACGCCCCGGTCGCTCGCTTCGGCCATCTGTGACGTTGTGCGCCCAGCTTCGGTCGGTCCAGAGAGGCTTCACCGACTCGCTGCCGCCGCTCCAACATGCCACTCTCTCGGGCGCCGCCACTTCAACAGCGGCCGAGCCCAGCACGACGATCTGTCGATACATCACGGCGCTCTCTGCTTCTTGACAGCATCATGGCCTCCGCGGCCAAAACGGAGTGCAAGCCCATCCTCGAGCGTGCAGAGCCTTCAAGCACGGGCTGCCAGTAGGAACACTTCCCTCTACCGCACACTAGGGCTCCATCTCCTCGTGCTTCCTCGTCGTGGCTGGTTCTCATTAGTCCAAATTCCAGACCTACCGCTCCAGCGCAATCTTCGTCAGGCACCCATCAGGTCCAGCAGCTCCGCCAGCACAGCACGTGTTTTCGTGTCACCACATGCGTGCTGCGACGCTCAATGATGCGCATCTCTTGATTGCACGCAGCCTGCCGTGCTGCCCAAGCCAGCACCCTCCCGATTCTGCAATGGCCACCGTGATGGAACTCTATATCTTGACTACGAGTAGTGGTCTCTGTCATTTCCACTTGTTCCTGTCAGATCAAACTTTAAAGTCGTCGGCTTCTGTTCTCGTGGTCGAGAACTTCAGACGAAAAGAGCAGGAGCATCGGCATAGGCGCCAGCCCGACTTCTAGCCATCACAGCGTTTCCGTGCTACGACATGCAGCCCGTGGCCATTGCGCCTCGAGCCACTTTCTCAATGGGTTTCATCTGAATTCATTCCGCTTAATTGACATTGTCATGGTGGAACAGGGTACCCACCGCTTTCTTTCTTCTCCGTTGCATCCCCATCCGCCGGTGTCAGGGTACCCGACCCACCAGTTGAACTCCATCCAAACCTCGCACGGCATGTCCCTCATCTACCTCATCGTCCCCAACATCCCAACATAGACAGTGCATCCCAGTCCGGCCATCTCGGACCCAAGGATGCGCTCTTCCGCTGCTTGGCCGCGCAGTCGACCGTCACCTTGGGCGCTGATGCTTCCGCTGTTGTCACGAGCGGCCCGAATACTCCCGGCAGCTGCGTTCGAAGATATAAGCGCGTGGGGGTAATCGTATGTACCTCTCTTGATGCATTGCATCTCAGTGTACCTGATAATCTGTACATATTGCGTTAATGGTTCGCAATAGACATAGTAGAGACCTTGTAGTATAGTACCAGTAGTATCATAATAATACCAAGTCAACATATATCACAATCATGAGTTCACGCGATTCCCGCGACACATCTAGGATACCTTCTCCGGTCGCGACGATCTCACTCTGTTCAGCTGACCGCTTACGAATACCTTTAGGCTCATGATTCATCCGACCGCTATAATACTCTGCCTGATACTCTGCCGTGCGTGATATTGGGCACTGATGAATTGACCAAGCAACGGTGTCCTCTTCAACTCCGGGTTCGCATTCTTCCATTTCCTCCCGAGATGATGGATCACGTCCATTATCCTCCAGTGAAGACTTGCGGAGGAGTACCGTACCATCATCGAGATAATCAATCCAGTCAACAATTGGACATTGCCTGTCTAGCTGAGGCATTCACGACGCGTAATCGGGCTTCACGTAGAGACGAGGTTGGGGATTTCTGTTGGGCGTGAAGAATCATCATAGTCTAGTCTAATGTGCTATCTGAAGTCGTAATCGTATCTCTCGTCTCGTCTCGAGGGGAACTGCCGACGTCGTATCCAAGTCCGCCGCAGATTTGGTAAACAAATCGTATCCCGCGGCAGGAGGTTACATGTCCTTCGTCGCTCGCAGCTTGCAGAAAGAAGCAAATTTCAAGGGGGGTATCTGGGGTATAAACAGTCCATCTCGCGTGAACGACAGGCCGGGGCCAAAGCAAAACGCCGTCGTAGATGCTGTGTCCCAGCACATCTTTTTTTCGGAAAGTAGCAATGGGTATTTTCGTCCGGGGTATGCAATTTCGTGAAGCAATGAAAGAAAGGAAAAGCATTAAAGTAAACGCCGTCGTGACGCTGCTGGAAAGTTCAACTTGGTCGTAAGTGGCTATCGAAACGTGATCCTCGCACAATGTCGTAGATGTCATTAGACTGATGATGGACGGCGAGCGGTGAGACGCGTTCGGTAGGTCGTCAAGGTTTGTCGAAGGTGCGAGTCTTCATACCAAGTGCCAGTTGTGACCAGCAAGCTCAGTAATGAGGCTCGACCGGGATACCAGCCAAGTCCTCGAGGAGAGAGATTGCCGCAGACATGCGTCGCGCAATCTGTTCGGACACCCACGAACCGCCAATGTCCATACCGATGGGAATGACGCCGAAGAGGTGGCGGCCATTGCCGTAAGCTCCACTGCGAGTAGCCACGTTTCCGTAGCCACCACCGAAACCGACACCGTTCGCGTTCTTCCACGCAGCTAGCTCGGCCTCTTGAACAAGTGCATAAAGCGCCACAAGGATCGCGACCAACCAGGGGATCCATCCCATGAATCCAATCTTCTTGGACGAAGCTGCGACTGGGCGCTGGTATTCGGGCTGGTGAAGGGCCTGCTCGACGGGTTTGACTTCGCGGGTGACCATGACGGGAGTGATGCGGTTGGTAGGCTTGGCGATGGAAACCTGGGTGTTGGATTCGACGGGCGTCGTCTCGAGAGCCGCCTGAGGAAGAAGTTGGCTCGTGAGCGCAGGTGCGTCGGTCTGCACGGAGAAATCGGTGGTGGTTGCGGGTGCGTCGGTTTGGGTGGAGAGCTCAGCGGTGGAGCTCTGACGCGCAACTGGACTGGTACTGACAGATCCAGTTGGGCTCAGCGCGAGCGTAGGAACGGCGGGCTCTCTTGGCGCATAGTTGGCGATCTCGTGTCCAAAAAGTGTCGAGGCAACAGACACAGGACTGTGGGGTGAAACGCTCGTAATCTCTTCCTCGTACATGGCGAAACGCGCCTCAGCAGGCACCACAGGCGCATAGTTGGCTACGTCTTGCACACCGTACAAGGAAAGTCCAGCGCGAGCGGCGTCGACGGGCTCGGTGCTAGCGATGTTCTGCACGTCCTGGAAGGAGAGCGCAGGGCGCACGAGTTCAATGGGCTCGGTGCTGGTGGAGTTCTGCGGGCTGAGGGCCAAAGGCGAACCAGCAGGCTCTATGGGCGTATAGCTGAAGACACGGCGCACGTCGTCGAGGGAGTACGGAACGCGAGTGGGTTCGACGGGCGCGGTGCTGATGGCAGTCGGCGTGCTGGTAGTCAAGACCGCACCAACAGGCTGCTCCGGGGCGCAGTTGAAGATGTCGCGCACGTTGTAGAAGGAGAGCGGAATGCGCGCTGGCTCGGCGGGTGGGCTGCTGGCGGCTTCGCGGACCTCAAGCGTTTGTATAGGCGACCTCGCGGTCTCGGGCTCGGTGCTGGCAGCTTCGCGGATGTCGACGGTTTGTATGGGCGACTTCGCAGCCTCGGGCTCGGTGCTGGCGGCCTGGTGAACGGGGCTGGTGGACAGCGATGTTGGCGATGGGTCGCGCGGTTCGACGCTGGCGGCTACGTGGATCTCGGAGGCAGACGATGGCACATAAGGCTCGTAGTCGCTGGCATCGGCTGCGATCCAATCATCGTCGTTGATCCCGGAGTTCTCGAGCTCTGCTTCAAGGGTACCCTCCATGCTGCCGATGTGGCGGTCATCGTCGACGGGCGAAGCAGCGGCGGCTCGAGCCTTCTCGTCGAGCTCGTGACGGTTGCGCTCAATCTCCTTCTGCAACAGCGACTCGAGGTGGCTGATGCGCTCGTCCTTGACTTCGACGACCCGTAGAATGCGCTCATGCTCGGCGTTGGCCTCAGCGATGTCACCCTGAAGGTTGTTCTTCTCCTCGAAGTTGATGTGCTCTTCGAGTGTCTCCTTCAGCTCGGCGATAGTTTCCATTCCTTCCTGCCATTGCGCCGTTAGATCCTTGAACTGCAAGTTCAAGTCTTCGAGCTC